TTTAGTTGCAGACTTTGGGAGTTAGAGTTAGTCTGGCGAGATTCTGTCTAGCAGGTGTAAGAAAGTAACTGAGCGATTCCAAAATCGTCCCATGGAGTTTCTTGGGCTGAATCTGATAGTTACCCAGAAAAAGACATAATTGGTTTACCCAACTAGGCTGGTAATAAGCATTCCAGGTCAGAGAGGGCACTTGGTCTCCAGTAAAAATGGAACCTTCCCCAAACTATGTACTGAATATGTGGCAGCAGTGTGAGACAACTACCTAAAAAGTAACTTTAGAGTGCTTTAAAAGATATGCAACTGGAAGAAAAAGAACTGCTTATATGGCTCCATTGTTGAGGGGGGCATTTTTATTCTCCCTCCCCTATGGTTTGTATCTTGGTTTTTATATTTATTAATGTGGTTTTTATATTTTTCATATTGTTTTTATATTTATTTTTATCTGATGTTGTATACTGCCCAGAGTCACTGTTGGTGAGATGGGCAGCTATATAAATTTGCTAAATAAATAAATACTTTGTCTAATTGTCAGCATAACATTTTAAGAAAGACAATGTCAATCTGAAAAACATTCCAGCAGCACCTAGGATGGTGAGGAGGCCATCATTCCAGTGCTCTTTGAATGCATTCCAGTTGACAGGGTCTTTCTTACAATGTCATCTGGGATAATGATAACTCTACTGCTGTCTAGTGGCTATCCAGATTTGTATAGTCCAAGTATGGTATCGCTAGTTTACAGTCAGATTTGGAGAAGGATCACAAATGGGGTCAACAATGCCAGACACATGAGCAGCCATGAAGAACCCTTAGGACAATATGGAGTCACTCACTTGCAGGTCAGTGGGCGATCACAGCCAGGCCAAGTTTAAAATGACAACTCCAAATAGCAATGGTGAGAAGCCAAAATTTCATGATGCATAGAAATCAAAGGTAAAGAAAAAAAGCAGGAAGGAATAGCAGGAAAGTGCTCAAATATTAGCTTTTTCAAAGACACGGTGAGAATATAGGTCCATGAAGAGTAGATACTAATCATAATAATTAGGAACAAAATGAAGTACAACACTCCCACTCATCCCTGGAATCTCCCTGTACATGACATCTCAGTCCAAAAATATGATAAAAGTATTGTATACAAAAGATGCTCAACATGAGGCTTTAATGCCCACTCAATTCCATTTCAAAGATGCAATGCTGAGAAAATTCTCCTTGGATAGAGGGATAATAGAAGCTGGAACTCTGACCCCAAAATAGAGAAGCTCCAGATTGTCTTTTGGATTCTGCATCACACACACACACACACACACACACACACACACAAATCTAATGCATTTCAAATCTTTTGCACCACAAACTGATCTAACAAAGCAGGAGACTTCTCCAGATGTCTATTAATAGTTTTCAAGATTTCTAAACTCAGTACATTAAGTGTGATAGTGCCATGCCAATGACCTTGTCTTGGACTAAATTTCAGGAATTTCAAGACCAATGTATTCCACAAATGAAGAAATTTCAAGACCAATGCCTTCAGAGGACCAATTCAGAGTTTCTTAGCAATCTCTTAGATAAGCTACAAATTTGCAGGATTGAGCAAGCAGTTGCTGCAGTTCATGCCCTGTGGTTATCAATCCTGTTGTCAGCAAATGAGGAGCTATATGCAGCTGGAGAACTTCTGCTCAAGTAATATGGTAGTGATTTATCAATTTTCCTGCACAATTCCTGTTATTGAGACTGTTACTGAAATATCATATTGCTAAAAAGGCAAATAAACAACAAAAGAAGTTACAGAATTTGATAGAAAACTGTAATCCTGTTTTAAGCCAGCATTCAATGCCTCCTTTTTTAGACCACATCTCTGGCATCCACAGAGATGACATTCTCAGGTGGAAATTGAAAAAAACACACACACACCACTTATGAAGCAACATGTTACAATACCAAGTTGCTAATTTGCAGGTGAAATTTGCAGGTGAAAAAGGCATGAAAAACTTTTTAAGTGACCCTTTATCTCCCATGGCTCTCAGCTGCACCCATGCTGCTGAAGC